TTATACAATAAAATTAAAACAAGAAACAAAAATTTTTATTATAAAACGGCGAAAATATAAATATGTTCATTATTAAAATTCTGTTTGCAAAATAAAATAACGTAACAATATCAAAATCGAAAATTCAAACGCAAATCCTCAAATAATCGCAGTGGACAGTCGTCGAGAAGTATAAAACAGAAAAATACAGTCCTCCCAGATTTGAAGCAGAGACAAGGTCAAAAATTATCATTGTAAAAGTCAGTAACATTGTGGAAACCTAAGTAGCTGAATTCAGGAGTCCGTAAATCGTTTACAATTTAAAATAATTAACAGTATAAAAGTGACAGTTTTGTGTTATGTATCGAAAGTCAAAGCCAAGTCAAAGAAAGTCAAGTCTTAAGCTATAAAAGTCAAATGGTAGGTATATTTCTGCTTTAAATTTGGAAGAACCGTACGTTTCTGTTTTATACTTCTCTACGTCTGTCCACTGCAATAATTTGAAGATTTGCGTTTGAATTTTCGATTTTAGTATTGTTACAACATTTTATTTTGCGAATAAAGATTTAATAATAGACGTATTTTTATTTTCACCGTTTTATGTTTAAAAAATTTTTTTTCTTGTTTTAATTTTATCGTTTAACATTGAGAATGATTTGATGTAAGACAAAACGTCCGTTTTTATTATATTACGTTAATGTACTAACTCATTATATTAGAGCTTTGAATAACTCTGCTCATAGCCCACATTTTAATTATTATTTTGTCATTTATTGAGCCTTTTTCATTTTATTTTATTTTAAGTTATTTTATTTTTAAATTTTATTATTTAAGTTTTACCATTTAAAATATAAATTCACGTAAATTAAAATGGCAATTTCTATACATGTATTATTATCATATTAGGTATATTGTATGCGCATATCGAATAATAAATATTAAAAAATAAATAAATACATTATATAAAAATATAAATAGATATTATATATAAAACAAATAATTAAATTATATCAAATATAGTGAAATAATGACCTATGAGAGCCGACACGGGTGTTGGTGTATGAAATTCTTATTGTTACAATATCCAATCATACACGATATGCGCGCCGCACGGTTTGTCGGTCATGAAACACAGCTCTTTTTCACGAAACCGGAAACTTGTAACTAATTAATTTGACAAATAATTTAATATTTTTCAATGCTAATATTCATCTATTTTTAAGATTCCTCTCTCCCCAAACATGTAAAGAAATTTATTGCGATAAATAACATCTCAGCTCTCAGCCGGGAATTGAGGGGAGGGAAATTTTATAGATGCATATTAGTATCAAAAAATATTAAATTGTTCGTCAATTTAATTAGTTACAAGTTTCTGGCTTCGTGCAAAAGAGCTGTGTTTCAAGACCGACAAACCGTGCGGCGTGCAGATAGTTTGTGGTTGAATATTGCAACAATAAGAATTTCACAAACAAACAACCGTGTCGGCTCTCATAAGCAATTATTTCACATTTTATATCACTAAATTTGATCTATTCCTTGGAGACTATTCCTTCTATTTAATTTCATTTAAATAAATTATATAAAAATAATAATTACAGAAAATATTGACAAGATGAAGAGAGAGACAAGATTCGTTATTTCCATTACTGTCGTTATGCTATGGCTATTTTGTTATGCTATGGCGGGTGTGGATAAAGAAGGATGCCGTTATTTCCTTGGGGGCGTAAGTATTTATACAATATATATTTTATGAAAGATAGTCGTTTTCCGCATTATAAAGACTTACAAAAGAAACGATATTAGAGCTAAATTTTTAATTCAGATTTTGTTCTGTGTATAATCTATATGAACTTAGCAAGAAAATGTTTCACATTTGTATCGATGCAATATTATCCGCAAATTAATATTAATTTTGAATGTCAAATGACACAACTCTAAATATTACTTTTTAATATTCTAGTGTACCAAGGATGATGATTGCTGTCCTCATTTGTTATGTAAAAAACAAGGGCACAATTACTGTGCATGGGATGGCTCATTTGGAAAAAAGTAAATTAAATAACAGATCTCTTTGCCCTGCATTATATTCACTAAATATGCCAGAGCAATGATACTAAAATAATAATATCGCTTAAGATCTTTCCTTATATTTGACTATGGCGCTATTTCTATTTATGTTTATAAAATAGAAAATAGAATTTCTCTGTTATAACTTTAAATAAATATATTCAAGAGCAAACACTATTCTCTGTCTTATTCATTAATAATATACATGTAAGATTGCAACCAGATTATTTTAAGATTACTTTAATTAAAACAGCCAATTATCAGCGAAATTATTAAAGATACAAAAAAATGTTTCAGATGAAAGAAGAAAATAAATGAATAATTGCATATTTCTTTTGAAAGCAAATAAGGTAAACTCGGATATTATGGCCATAAGGAAAAAATGGCCATGTGCTGTAATTTTCCTAATAATTGTTAAATAATGCATTTGTGTTGTCGTTCTCAATGATAATCAATATTCACAGTAGTTTATGTGCGTACACTACTCAAAATAACAATAATCTATAATATTATATACATATAATGTTTTTACTTTTAATTGCCAGCACAGTTTTACACGTGTCTAAAAGCTGTTATATTATCAAATCAATTATAGTTAAGCTACCGTAATCAACATTACATACACAGTAAAAGGTCTATAAATTGTAACTTATAATTTGTATTTTCATTTTGACTACTTATTTACAAATACTAAGACAGTTTCCCTTATAATTTGGATAAGATGGATCACTTTTTTCATGTTAAGTTGGCCAACAAGCGTTCGAAAGCACCCGAGTGTCCTCATGTCATCATTTTATCCTTATTATTCATTGAATGTTAAATAAAAATAAAACGATAGAATGCATTCGGTTTGCAGTCGCAGCATTGTTAAGATATAAATGTCACTTAATTATTATAAACTGACAGCTTGTTATAAATTGGCTTCGCAATTGTGGATAATGTTCAACAAAAGTAAATATTAAGATTTGTCATTTTAATTTTAATTGTTAGAATTTCAGTAAGTATCGCAATATTTATTTCGTAAGTATTATCAGGTTAGACTTGTTAGTATTTTGTTGTAATTGCCTGATATCGCGTTGCTTTCTATAGGAACAATTAATTTTACAATATCGGTAGGTAGCTTTTATAGAAAAACGGCAAATTATACTGCTCTCTGTCTGCAAGCATCATATGAATCGTTTAAAATGAAGTTAAAAAGTGAGGTTAGAAAACCTGTCTTATTTATTAACAATAAAATATAGTTAATATTCGCATGCATTTAAATATTGCGCGCCGCAATATTTGTCGGGTTTTAAATACAGTTCTTACACAAAGCCGGACTCCTCTTTAATAATTAAACATTTGATAATGTATATAAAAGTTCTTTAATATTACTATATTTAAATTGTATTGCTGTTATATGTATGTAAGATTATTTATTTATATATTAATACAATTGGTTATGACATATATTGTAATAGTTATTATTCATTTCTTTTTTTTATATCGTAATAATAATGATGCGCCATGTAATATCTTTAACTTGAGTGCATTTATTTTGTACATATACAATCTCATTTATTAATGGAACAGTATTTAAGAAATGCATTTTATTTTATTGTTAATTTGATTAACTCTTTGTGTCACGAATTTTTGTATTAGACCATTCTTTTGAAACTTTGTACTTGAGGATTTTTTGTATCGCTGATCACGAATTAAAAATAATTTTAAAATTCTAAATGACCGATCCAGTACGGTTGACCAATAATTCTAATAATTTTAATAAATAATTAAACATTTTATTATTTGTGTAAAAATAAATTATTTAGTAAGGAACAGATTTATCGATTCCATAAGATCTAGAAACTAACAATAAGTAATAAGACTATTATTTCGCTGCGTTTACGAATTAAATTCAAAATGGCATAACTGGTCTAATGTATCAAAATCGAAATAATATAAAACATATATATAAAATATTTTATGATATCTTGAATAGTTTTCAAGATATAACGAAAAAAATAATTAATTTACATATAAAGGTTGGTTTCATCCCTTTAAACCGTTTTTAGCACCAACTGATAATTTCTAAATTCATCTTATTTATGTGACCTCAAAGTGTACCAAATTTCATTAAAATAAAAATTTGACACTTTACGAGGTTCCCTTATTAGTATTTTTATATGTAGAATAATTAGAGAAATCATATTATTTGAAAAAATCCTATCATTTCATTTAAAAAAAGTGGAGTCACTTCCATGTGAAAAATTAAAAAAATCGATTTTTTGAGGAAATTGATTTTATCGTTATTTATCTTCCTTTATATTCTACAACTTTTGTTTGTCAGTCTCACTTTTCAAGATATTCGGTTTGATAGATTAAAATATACATATATGAAGAAAAAAATAGTACCATAGTTATAAATACAAAAAAGCATGAAAAAAGTGCCATATTAGTATGATATTTTTATTTAGTTATATGTAATATACTCTCTTTTTTTTATACATATTGATAAAGAAAAAAATAGTAGTCAAACATAAATAATACTAAAAAGGAGTGCCATATTAATATAATGGCACTCCTTTATTTCCACTTTCAGATTTTCGGCTTGGCACACATATGTTAGCATGTTTCGCCATTCCAGATCAGCATGATAGTAATCTCTAGTGGAACATAAAAAGAAGGAGATGGATGAGAAAATTTATTTATTTACCTACACACATATAGTTATCATCAAGTAAACATATTTAAATGTTCTTAATCGTAAAAGTTCCGCGACCGCAGGAATTCTTTATGTATATTCTATAAAGATAAAAATATGGTAATCCCTGAAAGGAAAATATATATCTGTGACACTTGCAGACGCTTCGATATCTTAGCCATGTTAATTTTATTCTTTACGTGAAGCATTCGTCCGGCGCGACGGTTGGTCGCAGGACTATTAATAAAAATTTCCCGGGTTTTATTCTTTGCCCGACCGCACCTCGTAAACCGACGGCCCACGGCAGGCTAACTTCCACCTTTCCCCTATTTCTTCTCGGCATCTCTTTATGACTACCAACCTCCTCGCCTTCGCGCCCTTTTCCTTCGCGCCCCTCCACCCGGCGCCTCGCTCGGACGTGCGCGAATGTAAGTGCAGCAAAAATTCTCCTCGCGAGTATCGCAAAACCCGCGCCATTAATTTTAAATCCAAGTAAGTCACCTCTGCCGGGGACAGTGACTAATGACTCATATAACCGGTGGCGCGCGGTACAGCCAGACGACGACCCCGGTCATCTCTTTAGCCACGAAGAAGCGCCGAGGGGACCGATCTTCGCTGAGAGGCGTCGAGGGTGTGCTTCGTGATTCATAGAGTCTAACTTTTCTCGCCGCCGCCCCCCCCCTCCCTCCTTCGAGGTTTGAAGAGTTCGTGCGGTGCCTTGGGTGACTGATTATTATCTCGTCACTCGTCTCGCAGGGCGAAGGTGTTAGCGCGTGCTCGCGCGGCAGGCTGATGCGTCGCGACGCTAATTACGAAATCCTGTCAGAGGATTTTAATTGTTTCTCCCCTTTTAAAGCGACGTGGCAGAGGATTAATTGCGTCCCGTTCGATGAATATAGTATCATTTTCGGCTACACCGCGTATTCGTGAGCCGTGTTTGCAAAAATTGCAAAACTTCCAAATTGAGAAAAAAGAATTGACTTCTGTTGGCAAGTCACGAACGTGTACCGCGGGAAATTGGAAGACAAAGCGGCTCGCAAACATTTCGACAGTTATAATGGTCTCAATTATAACAATAAAAGTGATTTACGACACAAGTTGGTACTGCTTAAGTAAACCGCGCTTAGAGTACCTCGTTAGATCGCTCCTAGTGTTTATTGCCTTTTTATTAGCATTACAGTGCGATTAAGAAACCGCGCGTGCAATTACGGCGTGCAAATCAACGTTATACGTTAAAACTAAGCTGCTATCTACGGTGAAATAGTCCGCCTAGTCGTGCTGTCGTATCTCGGCCCCGGAAAACCCCGCGGAAAATCCGTGCCGGTCATAAATATGCCGAGATGAACAATTCGCTGCAACTTTTGTATTTAATCGTCCGGCCGGCCGTCCGCCCGTCCGCTCTAGCAACTCGATCCTTCATAACCCACGGAGCACTAACTCGGGGAACAACGTGGGAGGGGAAAGGAGGGGGGAGGGGGAGGAACTCCGATAAGTCGTACGAACTACGTAATCCGCACTCGAGTTTCCTGAAGTCCCGGCAACGTCCGGAGCTTCCAGCCGCTTTGCGAACTTATCCATTGAACGATTTGTTGGTATTATCGAATTTGCATGAATCCATCGGTTCACTTCGAGACTTTCACATTCGAATCCGAGGGAAAAGCTTATACGGTGCCGATGCGCAATGCCCTCGACGTCAGGAACACGCCGGGCGAATTCGTAAGCCAAGAGCAACATAAAGGCGCCATTTGCATAGAAAATATTGCATAAGTAGAGTCGCAGCGATTTCATCGTTTCTGGATACTGTCCTGATTTCTTCGGTTTATGTCTAAATTGCTGCACACTCGTGCATGTCCGCGCCGATATGTCATACTAATATAAATAATTCTCTCAGTATTTTCTGTCACTTGACATTTTTTTATTTTTTTATTTTTTGCAACATTTCAGCGGAGAAGATAGACGAGTATAGAAGCACGGATCTATATAAATGTCGGAATGTATCACGAGCCGGGATATCCCAGGGATTCTTATAGCGTTTTCGGACGGGTTTGATCGTTCCGAGAGCGATTAATAACGTCACGCATGCTCTCCTCGTCCTCCTCTGTGACGTCATTGACGTCATTAATCGCTATAAGAATCTCTGGGGTATCCCTGCAGCTCGTGATACATTCTGACATATAGAGATCCGTGCTTCTATATTCGTCTATATCTTCTCTGATTTCAGTTTTTTAAGATAAAAAAAAATAGTTGAAAAATACGTAACAGAGCGACTTGAAATTGCACTCATCACGTACGTGACAGCATGCCATTTCGCATCCCCGAGATTACTTTGACGTGTATAAAGGAGATCGGAAAAGTCGTTCGTAAAAGATTTTGTCATCATCTGTTTTACATTCACCAGCCATGCTTGCGTATTTACGAGAAAACTTGCGCGAAGCGCACTTTTCCCTACAAGCCGGATAAGCAATCCCGTTCGAGTTTTCTCGCACGACATT